AGAGCCGAGTAACAATACAAAAAAAGGATTAATTTATAACACAAACTGGATATTTTTTCTAGATAGAACTTACAAGTAATATTACTAAACAACCACACAAAAATGATAAGTAATCATTGCTGAAAAAATATGTAAACGATTTCTCTTTTTAAAAAGAAGTGGAATCATAACTGTGAGCATATACTCGAAATTGGATTTTTGTTGTTGGTAACTCGTTTTTGCTTTTATAGTACTATATTTACCTTTTGAGTTATAGAAAACAAAAGAGAACAATGTAAGTTTTGTTCTGTCACAGGGTGGTACAACAATTAGTTTCGCAAATTCAATAACTTGTAAGTTCAAAACAAGCAAATCAGCAGAAAAAAGCTCTGTTATGCTGTATTATCTAGACCGAGAACAATAACATGTTGCCAGACATTGTTTTGATCTAAGATAGAGAGCTATATCTGTCGGCAAAAAGAGTTGTAGTTGCTGTACCCACCCGATTTCCACAATTGGTTTCCCTTAACTTCGTTTCGTGAGGTTTTTGGAAAAGTTAAATGAACGTCCGCAATTCTCGAATCATTGGCGCGTTTAAGGGATCGTCTCAGTGTGAAATTTTCGAGAAGTCGATTTTTTTTTTTTTTTGCATTAACAGATAGTATACCCTACAATAAAAATTCTCTCCAATTTTGAAATCGAAATTCAAATTATTATGGCCGCTACAGCGTTTCTTGTAGAAAATGAACAGTGTGCTGAACACAGCGACTCCAATTTTATTTATTTAAAAAAAAAATCGGATTGATTAGATAGATTTCACCCGATACGCTCGAAGCAATAATGGAAAAGGCAGCAAAAGGATGTAATTTTGATCATTTCGATCAAAAAAAAGCGGTAATTTGACTGATATCGATAGATATAGATAAGAATCTGCATGCATATTGTCTTGTAGAGTATATTTTCATGTTCAGCACTAATCAGTTCGCTTTTCAGAAACATATTACAGCTTAAATCTGTTCAAGCAATCAATCATTAGTGAAAGCATAAACACGACCTTGCCTACTCATTCAAGCATTGAAAGCTTCATTAAATTCACATTGAGTTGAGTTGCAAACAATGTACGAGTATAGTATACACTATATAATTGGACATGCCATATGTTGCAAAACAGTAAGCAAAGACGCAATGTCAATAATGAAGAGACAGCAGACACATAAGAAGAAAAAGTGGTGGAGGAGGGAGAGTCTAAAGTGGTTGTATGTCCAACATTTATCCCTCTATAGATGTATGTAAATATGCGTGCGATTGCATAAGCAGATTGGCGAAATATGTTGGTATCTATTTTTAGCTGCCGCCTACTCGAACACAAAACCAGTTATTGCAGCGAAAGTGGAAAAGCGGCAAGCGAGGAATGCGTCTAGCGAAAGTAAACACTGGCAGGCATGACAGCGTTGGCTGTAAAAAAAAAAAAACACGACAATGTGGCACTCAACTTATCAGGAACAGTAAAATCGCATTACATACGCGCAGGTATGAAAATACTTGCTTCCTGAGAATGTGCACAGAACGCTTTCTGCGAAATTTTTCCACTACAATTCCGCACATACTTTGTTCGTGATATAAAAACAAAGTGGTGCAATCAACTGCCACCCACAGCAGTGTGCATTTACTGCTGTGTGTGGTACGAGAGACGTTTGTGAGGTGCCTGAAATGCTAAGTCGCAACCAAAGGTCAATGCTGTTGTGGCCCCTTATCTACGCAGTTCTGTGGCATTACAGCCCGCACACAGCATAAAGTGCACTTGCTTCAAATTTATCAGCTGCTGCTACCTTCTAAGTAGTAGTAGCCACAGCTGACGCAGCTTTCTAATTTTATTAGTGGTTGGGTAAATACCGTGACTGAGTACTCTTCCATAATCATTGCGTTGCCTTAAGCCGCTTAGTATCCTTCACTCAACACCGTTATTTTGTTGTACATATCTCTTCGTCGTCTCTTTTCACATCATCGACATTTGATTCTAGTCTCCTTTACCTCCGCAGACGCAGTCAGTTCTGCATTTCTTTTCGTCGTCTCTTTTCACATCATCGACATTTGATTCTAGTCTCCTTTACCTCCGCAGACGCAGTCAGTTCTGCTTCTACCAAATTACTGTAGTTTTGTTTTTATTTTTTCATCAACGCAATTATTGGCTACCACTGGCCCACTACAAGTATCTTGTCATCCAAATCAAAGCGTAGTCAGCTAACTGACCATCTACTTCAATGCTACGTCAACAAATTGTTGCTCCCAGCCTTCTTTTAGTGTTGTATTGGTTTGGTTCCACTCATGTCGCTGTGGACTGCAGTGTGTTTTTGATATATGATGCGATTGCCGGTCTCACAACTTGTCGGTATTTTTTCTTTTTATTTCTTTTATTCTTTATTTCCAACCCTATATTTGTCTTAAACCGTTTATTTCCTTTTTTTCATATGTGTTCGTTCCTTTGATTTGCTTTGTAAAGCGTCGGAAATGAAAAATTTTCGTTCTTCCGTTGTTGCCGTCGACATCGTTTTGTTGTACAAACTTTTCGCAGCGTAGGTGTTATTTTCATATTTTAACGCTTTTGACTTTTCCAATATTTTTACCGCACATGTTCGCTCACAGCCTCGTATAAAAATAGATTTTTCCAGCGTTTAATTAAACTTTCATTCTGCGTTGATCAAAAGCGCTAGCTGTCGGCGAAATTAATCGAAAATCGCAATAACACACAGTGTTCACTTACAATATGCGCGGAAATTTATTTTATAGTATGTCAATTAGCTGATCAAAGGAAAATTAAATTGGGTGACACTTTATTTCTTTTTTAATAAATTTGGCAATAAAGGAACATGGAAATTAATACATATACAGTGTACTTTATCTTGACTTATACATACTCCCTTTTCATATCTCACTCTCAACGTTTATCTCTTAACCCAATAAACGCTTTGTTCAATGACTGAACTCATCAATCAATAAACTATCTAGTGCCAATAATTCGCTGATTCACCGACTACTCGCTGTTCCGGGCTCACGCAAATTGTTGTTCATAGGCGAGTACACATGTACGAATATTTCGATTTGCAATTATGTTTCTCAATTCAACGAACAACACCAGCTGTCTAAGTACTTAATCAGTGCAGCTGGTTAAGTGCAAAAGTGACATTTATATATAATACTACATACTACTACAACCGTTATGTGAACAAAACTATAATACTCTCTTTAGCAACTTTCTTGCGAGAGTATAACAATAGATAACTGTTTATTCTCAGCACTTTGCGGAGCTTTTCAATTGTAATAAACCTGTATTTTAAGGTTGCTATGGGAGAAATGAATGAAACATGACTCAAACCTTTCACTTCGAAGTCCTGCAATCAGGAAGACAGTGCACTGCAGGCGATGGGCCGAATACAAAGGAAATACGTCGATTTCGATACTAACGACCGTACGCGTGAAGAAAGACCAAAAACTTTCGCAGACGTTGAATTGTAAACTTTGCTCGATGTGGATCCATGTGAAATAAAAGAAGTACTTGCTTCAGTATTGGGAGTTACACGCTAAGGCAATTTGAAGCAASCGCATATGATGGAAATGATGCAGAAACAAGGAAATCGGGTTCCAGGAGAAGCACGACACCTTGCATGACAACGTTACTAAACCCGTTAAAGCCTACCTGAAAACGCTGAATTAACATTGACGACAACGAAAAAGCGCTTGATTCTTGCCTTGATTCATCGTAAAATGACAATTTTTACAGTAATGGTATTCGAGTTTGTCAGAAATATGGGCAACACTTCAAATAATTCACTTGTAACCATTTCTTTACAATAAAATTTCATTTTCATTAAAAAAAAAAAAACAGCGTGAACTTAACCTAATAGAATATAACAAAAACCAAGAAAACTAATGAACTCGCTATTTTGAAACATCTTTGAAAATCACTGAAACGGACACCCACTTGTGGAAAACCTAAAAGCAAAACGGATTAAGTTTTATAGACACATACGCCATATACAAAATAAGTATATAGGATGTTRTTGTTGTAGTTTTCGGAGCCTCAGAAGACGTAAACCAAAGATTTCAGATCTATTGCATAGTTGACAATACTTGCCTGGAAAGAAAGTCGGTTTCGTTCCACTTACGTAGTCCAAACTGGTAGTAGGAACGAAATAACAGATGATTTTAGTGCGGATTGTGCTACGGCGGTATTATGGGATCTTATATATTTCGAAATGATGCAGGAAATGCCGTTATTATCAATAGAAAACGTTATAACACGATGTTGACCGACTTTCTTTTGCCGGAACTTGATGAAATTGAAGCGAAAGATTTGCCGTTTCCACAAGGCCAAGGACTGTCAACTCGACAGAATTCTGCCGCTACATCCACAACAACATCTGCACCGGTTTATGAAAAATTGGCGTAAATATGAGCTGCGGCTATCACCTAACATAATAAGAAAACGTCATTCTTTCGCAGAGAATTATTAAACAGCCACACAACTCATTTTGGTTGGCTAAACACAAATATTAGTAGATTCCTCCAAATCACAGCTTAAGGCATAATGCTGTATATTTCAACCGGAAATAGAAGCAAGGATACAACAATGTTTGTATTACATACCCATAAGATTTAAGTTCCCTTTGATCGCACTTTTAAACTGTAGTGAAACAATATAAACACTAAAAACCATTACTAACACACAATTTAATACACAAACATTAAAATAAATCAAAAGTTATCGTCCCTTTTCCTTTCACGACTGAATGAATCATGTGGACTGTGAGTTGTGGATGCTAAACAGCTGTAATACACACCAGTCCAATACATATGTATGACAGTTTCAAAAAACTATGTTTGTATGTATGTATACAGTTTAACACAGCAATGAACCACCTTGCGGAAATTGATTTTTCACCGTTTTTTCAGACATAATTTTCCAACAAAAACAAATAAATTAAATAAATATAACACAGCAAATTTTCTAACAGCGCACTTACCGGAAAGAATGTTATTGAAAGTGTCTTCCACACGCCGAGTGACGACTTCCCGCAGTAATTAATAATTAATTAAGATTAGCACTGCAAGAAAACGGCAACTGGTTTTTTTAGCAAACACTTGCCAAGGAACAGTTTGTTTTACACTTTCTCAGTTTATCAAGTCACAACACTTTTTCACGTCTTCTGCAATGTTTCATGAAATTCAATTTAATTTTTAGCTGGAAATTGCTTTGCTTAATAATGAAAATACACTTATTTTTTGCTAAAACTTTTGCTTGCGTTGCGTAGCGCGTAGCCAGAGTGGACGGGCAGGCGAGAAAACTTCGTCTGACTTGAGCGACGACAGGAAAATTCACTTATTCATCGTCCGTGGAAATCGTCCAGTCAAAAGTCTACTTGCAATTGTTTTTGTTGCTTTATTGCATGCGCCTGCGAAACACACAATAACTTTTCGCTGCCACTAGCGCGCAAGTACCAGCACCGTTTGCGTCTCCTCGAATTTTCCTAATAGACAAATGTGCCCCTTTTCTAAAAATCTAGTTTGCTTGTTTTTTTTTTTCCTTCGCACAACCAGCTGATTGGAAAATGCTGCCGATAATTTTGTAGTTTTGTTTTAGTTCTTGTGATTCATCATAAACGATTTCAGATGACAGATGCGAATGGAACGAAATGGAGAATGACAAAAGTTAGAAAATGCAGAAAGAAAATTGAATGTGTGCTGCCAGAAGGTTATGATAAAAATTTTTTAAATTATATATTTTAATAAAACAAAAATCACAAGAAAAATTAACTTTCTGCTATACTCAAAAGTATAATAGTTTTAATTTTGATATTAATTTAAAATGCTAAAATAATTGACCTGGAATGTTTCCCACATAGTTAGGTGGCATACCTAGTAAGCRCTTAAGTTTACTAGAAACATACATATTTGGAGCGCATTTTGAAAAATAATAGAAAAACACACACTGATATAGATATATCTGAATTTATAATAAAACTCGAGATGTCTACTTAGCCCTGAATGCTTGACCCTAATCGAGGTTCTTGTTTTACGATTAATGAGACCGTAAAAAGTATATTTGAATATTTCATATTTATTTCTTCATAAGTTCTAAATCAGTAAATCTATTTTGCCGCGAACTATCATTACATATTAACTGTGCAGAAACTACAAAAAAAAAAACGCCTTTGACAGTGAATAAGTTCGGAAATATGCAAGTTTCTTCACAATTGCTTTGGGACACTTATTTTATAAGTAGTTTACCACAAAACATTTAAAGCTTAAACGACAAAACCATTGACAGGGTACATATAATGGTTTCGGTTTACTTCTTAGCTGCGGCAGCATAACGGTTGGAGATATCCTTCCAGTTAGCAATATCCCAGATGGCTTCAACGTATGATGGGCGCACATTTTTGTATTGCAAATAGTAGGCATGCTCCCAAACATCAATACCGAAGAGTGGCACAAGACCTATAAAACACAAAAGCATATTTACTTAACATACAATATATACATTTCGTTCCAATTATACCTGTGCTACCTTCCAATGGATCCTGGTTGGGCAAAGCAGCCAATTGCAATTTGTTAGTTTTCTTATTGTAACCTAACCAGCCCCAGCCAGAACCTTGTACGGCAACAGTTAATGTGGTCAACTCCTTCTTCATCGCCTCCAAGCTGCCGAATTGTGCTTCGATAGCACACTTCAAATCGTTAGAAGGCTGCGTCTTTTCCGGCGACAAGTTGTGCCAGAAAATCGAGTGATTGATGTGACCGCCACCATTGAAACGCAATGCAGGCGCAAGCGAAATAATCTTGGTCACATCTTTCTTTTGCTGTGCCTCGGCAAGTTGCTCTTCAGCGGCGTTCAAATTGTTCACATAAGTTTGGTGATGTTTTTGATGGTGCAATTCCATAATTTCACGGCAAATGACCGGCTCCAAAGCTGCATAATCGTAAGGCAATTTGGGCAAATCATGCTTGCAGCGCACAGCTGTCCTGTAGGAGTAAAGAAAACTTTTAGTATAAACATACTAAATGTATTGCAACTTGTGTTCAATTCTGCCGGTTTTATGTAATCAATAACTTATGTGAGACCCTTAGGGCAGCAACAGTAGTTGCGCTTATATTTTAGTTATATACGCGAATTATACTTACTTTGCAACATTTGATACGGTACGTGTTAGAGAAAACATGTTGAACTATTTGCCAGCGGACAAAAACTGCAAAAAGAATTTAATTTATTTTAATTTAATTATAAAATAAAATATTTGCATAATTTTGCAGTACCTTTCCAGAAGTGAACTAATGGCAGCTGTCAAACGAGAAGTACCGCTATGAAAATAAGCAAAAGAGAATTGAGGTTGAAAGGAAACGGCATTGCCAACAGTATGGCACATTTTTTCCAGTACGGATGTGGAAGTAGATGGAAAAGAACGGAACTGAAGTTGAAGTGCATAAAAATATATTTTGTTTATTAAAAAGTGAATGTATAAGTTAAATTTATGTGTTCAAATGTGATTTTAATAAAAATTAATGTGCTGAAAGTTGTTTTGCAACCAAAATAGTGTCTGAAAATATGTTAGTTGTATATTTTCCGAAATATTCTTGTGCTGCTGCTGTCGGTACTTTGAAGCGTTTAAAAGTGACGCTATTTACACACACAAACACGTATGCATGATTATTAAATGGTAAGTCAAATGAACAATTAGCACTTTGTCTTATTAAAATTTAGAAAATAGCAAAATAAAGAAAAAATTGAAATTTTTACGCTTTTCTCTGGATTTGTAAGAGTTGAAAGCGTACGCACAGCTCATAAATTATACTTATTGACTTTGGTTTTTAAATAAGGCAATAGTGTACCTAACCTCATTGTTTTAAATCAATTGTTTAAGAAAGTTGCCTTGATTGCCGATAAAAGCATTTAATTCAAGCTATAACTGTGGAGACATATTTCTAGTTAACACCAGCAACTTAAGTTAGTTAGAAAACAATTTTTTTCCACCCCAGAAGCCGCATTTTTTAGTACTATTGCAACACATTCGAAGATGGCTAGGAATTCGCAAAGATTTTTTTTTTTTTTCGTTTGTAACAGTTATCTAGTTCCCCTTAGCATGGCAAAGATTAGAAAAGTTGTCATCAAGGTCATCCAACGATAGGCTAAGGATACATGCTGTTTCGACGGGGTCGGACCATAGGGGGAGGGGAGTCATGGATGCCAGGCTTCGAGTATGCCACGTTACTCACGGAGGCTGGCATATGTCGGGAAGTGGAGGAACAAGGAGTTGCTGAGTAGTTCTCGCACGAAGATTGGAGCGGGATGAAGGTTGGGTGGGGTGCGGAGAGATCAGAATGAGAGTCATGCTGCCTGTTGTCTACTACCTGTGTGTCTGAAGACGTGAGCAGATCTTAATATTGCTTCATCCATTGCATGTACTCGTATTACACCTAACCGAGGTAGAGTATGGATTGAGTCTTTTGGCGCAGACGCAGCAGGAAAAATCTTCCGGTATCGGATTGGACTCAATGACAGCACGATTCAGGAGGATATGGAGCAACCCTGCTGCAAAGCGTTGCTCCAGTGCTAACAATTTTAATCGAAAACTTACCGATCTCCGAAGGTACAGCCCTTGGCCGGATAAAATCAGTGACAATTCCGGTAACGTAGAACCGGCTGTTGTGGGAATTGATTCTCGAAGGTGGTGATCCATTGTCCTGAGATGGCCAGTGATGATCCCTATCATGAGGCTGTGTTCCGCTCGACACAAAACTTTTGGTTATGATCATCAGCCAAGCTTTCATTACCTGAGGTTTTCTCTTGCACCTATAGCCTTTAAAGGAGCTTAATAGTCTTATTTCTTCTAAATTGACCGGGTTCGCAGCAGTTCCAAAGCGAGCAAACTCGTGATCTTCAAAAATCATATATCTTTCTATTTAAAAAGTTAATGTTGTACTGATTTATGCAATCAAATTCAAGTCTCTATAATTAACAAGCGCGTTATATACACACATACATACATACAGACAYATTTCCAGTAACATATCTATGTCAAGTGTCAATCCCTTCTAAAGTGTAATTTTCGGCGCCTACAATGACACTCAGCCACTCGTTATTGTGTTCATCTGTTGCAACCTTGCGGTCACACAATTATACACACATACACATATGTTTGTAATTGTAAAAAATATGTATAAACACACTCCGCCTCATACTCATAATCAGCTTGAACACATGTTTTATAGCCGCGCTTCATGATAGCTTTTAAACKCTTTGACACGTTGAGTTGGTAAAAGGTAAACAAGCGAAGGAGTGAGCCGCTCGCGGTTGGTGGTTCGTGGTTGGCGGCAGTCGACACAATAAATAAGTTGATAATGAACATGAATAAAAGTCGCAGGTTGTGTCTACCAATTATGCTGCACATGAACAACAACAACAGCAAGTGCAACAAGAGCGCAGTTAACAGCAGACCCTTGACTGCAATTACTGTTATTTCTAAGGCATATATGTATGTTTGAATGTTGTATTTATGTACATATAGATGCGCATATTTTTGCTATGTATGTTTGGCTGCATGCTTGCAATACTTTTTGGCTCTTTGCTAGGCCACATACTCATACGTACATACACACATACTRGTATATAGGCACATATTTTGGTGAATGCACTTGTGTAGGCATTAAAAATAAATTACAAATAAATACAAATCTAATTTGAGCTCTTCACAAAAAAGCGGCACAACAATATACCGAACCAAATGGAGAATGGCTTTGATTGCATTAATATTAATGATGAAGGTTGCGTGCTGCTGGTCAGTAGCGCAGACGCGTCTTTCCAAATTGATTATAATTGTTTGATTACTAACAATTTTTGAATGATTTATGTTGCTAATTAGTGATTATTACATAACTGCCAATTATTAAAGATGCCGGATTTACTTGGGCTCAACATTATTGATAAATAAGTTAGGTTATGTAAGATAATTTGTATTCAGACTACAATAGTTGAAGACGATTGCGATAATATTGATGAAAACAATAACAAACGTTAACTTCGACTGCAAAAAAACTATAATATTCGTCACAGATGCATTTCTTATAGCAATAAAGGGATAAAGATCTTTTTAGATCTTTTTAGATCTTTATATTGATTTTGGTCGGCCAGTTTGTATGGCAGCTATATGCTATAGTGGTCGAATCTGAACAATATATTTTCATGTTGTAGCACTGTCTTCGAAAATAAACTGTGCCAAGTTTTGTCACGATATCCCCTCAAATAAAAAAGTTTTCCATACAAAGACTTTGTTTTGATCGGTCAGTTTATATAGCAGCTATATGCTATAGTGAGTGGATTTATACAATTTTATAGTATTTTGTAGCACCACCTTGGTTAAAAATTCTTGCGAAATTTTGTGATGATATTTTGATAAACAAACAAGTTATCCATACACAAACTTGAGTTGGATCGGTCAGTTCGTATGGCAGCTATGTGTTTTAATAAACCAATCATGCCGATTCCGATAAATGAGTAGCATTTTAAGGAGAAAAGGATGTGTGTAAAATTACAGGTCGTTATCTCAAAAACTGAAAGATTAGTTCG